GGGGTATTACCATACTCACCACGCTTGGCAGGCGGATTGGCGAGCGCAGTGCCAAGATGTTACATTTACAGGGAACGCTGCTGCCCATTCCCTGGATGAATATCCCTTAGTCGCTTTTTACGACACCCACGGGTAGAATTGGCGTGATGCTATTCTAAGCCGGCATCACACGGCGTATAAGCAATTATTAAAAACAAAATCACGACTGCGGTAATTCCAAAGTTATACGGGTGTTACAAAACAACCAATAAAGCTGAAAGGAGGTCAAGGTACTCATGAAACTGAACAACTTTCCCCATGGAACATGGGTAGAAATATGAAAAAAAAATTGGACTTCCCATACAAAATGAACTCACTTTGTATGGGAGATTTATTGGTTGTTTTGTAACACGTTGTATAAGCCGGTTCACAACCGAAATGGCAACATTATTGTTGACATCTAGCTCAAATGTCATGTAATATGAAAAAGACGCAAACAATAATGTTGCCATTTCGGGTCCCCTTCTTTTGTGAATTGGGTAGTATTTTCTGACTGAATCTACGATTTTGCCCCGGGCATATCAAATCTATACCACACTTTTTGATTATGAGCGCTGGCTCACCCAGAAGTGCAAAATCGCACCAGTGTCACTCGCACTGCTGAGACATGGGCTGGACATGGCTGAGCCCTCAGGCTAAGTCGAATCTAACGAAGCCTCAATGCCAATGCCGCTTGGGATGTAGACCGTACATAACAGCCACAACAGTCCACTGCTGGACATGGGCCTCCCCCTATCGGGGGGTATTACCATACTCACCACGCTTGGCAGGCGGATTGGCGAGCGCAGTGCCAAGATGTTACATTTACAGGGAACGCTGCTGCCCATTCCCTGGATGAATATCCCTTAGTCGCTTTTTACGACACCCACGGGTAGAATTGGCGTGATGCTATTCTAAGCCGGCATCACACGGCGTATAAGCAATTATTAAAAACAAAATCACGACTGCGGTAATTCCAAAGTTATACGGGTGTTACAAAACAACCAATAAAGCTGAAAGGAGGTCAAGGTACTCATGAAACTGAACAACTTTCCCCATGGAACATGGGTAGAAATATGAAAAAAAAATTGGACTTCCCATACAAAATGAACTCACTTTGTATGGGAGATTTATTGGTTGTTTTGTAACACGTTGTATAAGCCGGTTCACAACCGAAATGGCAACATTATTGTTGACATCTAGCTCAAATGTCATGTAATATGAAAAAGACGCAAACAATAATGTTGCCATTTCGGGTCCCCTTCTTTTGTGAATTGGGTAGTATTTTCTGACTGAATCTACGATTTTGCCCCGGGCATATCAAATCTATACCACACTTTTTGATTATGAGCGCTGGCTCACCCAGAAGTGCAAAATCGCACCAGTGTCACTCGCACTGCTGAGACATGGGCTGGACATCGCTGAGCCCTCAGGCTGAGGCGAATCTAAAGAAGCCAAATACTAACAGGACTGAGCACTGGCCGACGAAAAGCAACATATTTTTTAGGGTGGCAAGTTTAGAATGGGACAAAGGGCTCTCTTATAGCTATCTCTTTCTGATCGTTTTTCTCTCTCCGCATCGTCAAGCGAAACTAAGTCTTATTGTAAGGAGGTAAGGTATATTTTTCATTATATTCAATTTTTAGAGAACTCAGGCCTGTTAGTATGTAAGGTCTTTGAACGAAGCCTCAATGCCAATGCCGCTTGGGATGTATGTAGACCGTGATTTATATTTTATTTTTGCCTAGGATATACTGACTGGGTTTTACTTACTGGATGCCCCCACCAACCGCTTACGACGCAATGATTTCCACTTGAAACTCTGAAAATAAAAAATCATCTTTTAACAGTGTTCAAAAATTGCATGCCTTTTTTATGTCTTTGGTTCTTTCGGAATTTTTCTTCACTTATTTTAAAACATTTGTTGTAATTTTGAAAAAATTTTGTATTTCAACAGAAAAATAGGCAGCCAGGGTGAAACGCTGAGAGGATCTTTCTACTCTCGCCTCTAAAAATACTACTAGGTACCTATTGAATATGGTAGGTACTTACTGGATGTCTTTCGTCTCTTGAAGTAGAAAATCCTTCAGGCATCGGTATTTTACTTTCACTAGAGGCCAAATTAGCCAACAATGCAAGCATTTCATCTTTAGTCAGGACCGTTGCTACTTCGCTGCTTTCAGCCAAATCATTCGGAGCCATAGTTAGAAAGCGAATCTTTTCTATAATACCGGGCAGATGCTTTCTCGCGAGCCGTCCTGTAATGAAGGAAATTGCAAGGTTATCCTGGTCTGGATGTTTTCATACAAACATATTACTACTTCCCGAGTCTTGCCTGTAGAGCTTATTAGGGTTTTGTAGTCTACTAGAAACCCTTATCATTTCGTCAAGTCTGTCTGTCTGTATGCCGCGCCCTCATATCTGCGTCAGTTTTGGAGCTATTGACATGAAATTTGGTGAAAATGTAGAATTTATACGATTATATCTATCCATAGAAAAGTTTTATGCAATTTTTTAGTTTTTAATAATTTGTTTGGAAAAAAACTGAAACGCCGAGGTATTTTCATACAAGGCTCTCAAAGTATTCAGACCCAGATATAATGCAACAGTGAAGATGCATGTCGCATGTACCTATTACAACTTTATACGTATCCACTACACATTGCAAAATATTTAGTTAATTTGTGACTGCCACACATAGCAGGTTATTGTATGGGTTGCGAGTCATATCATTCATTACAATAAACTCAAGATAACCAGCCTAAACAAGTGTCAGTGCAGGATGTAAGTACCTATACTTGTAACTTACGTTTCTTGGCAACAGGTTCATTGGATTCAGTAGCACTTGTGGCATTTTCTGGTGGTTGTTTATCATCTACCAAATCAGCCACACACTGAAAAAATCAGAGCTACCTATTACAAACTTTCCTCTTGAATCACTCTATCTATTACAAAATCAACCTTTGTGTGATTTAGGAGTTAGCAAATTCCACAAGAGACAAAGCAACTTCATATAACTATGCATGCATACCTAGAATAAAGTCAAAGCCCAATTCCATGCCTAAATTGTCTTCCTATTGTTAATATTTGTACAATAAGGTAATTGTAAAAATTACCTCATCCTTTGTAGCAAGTTTTTGCTCATCAAAATTGTCAAGATAATCTACAACAGCATTAAACAGCTCCATCTCGCTAGAAACATTCATAGTCTCCATTGAAACTATTTCCCCAAGTGCTTGTACAGAAATCTTTCTAAAGTCGGGGTTTTTCAAAACCTCTACAGTTTTTGAACTGATCAACTGAAAAAAATATTAACAAGCTTTAAAAAATTAAAAATAATATGCTTTTCAACAGGTAGGTAAATAATAAAATTATGTTCTTGCACTTTCTTTGACTGATCATTATTTCAAAATCTATTTAAATATTTAAAATATTATTCATTTCATTATTTATTAAATGTATAAACCACACTTACTTCCAAGCATTTTGTCTTTAGTTTTTCACTGTACAAACAGGCAAATTCAAACATTTTGCACACATTATTACAATCGAGTTTCTCAAATAAATAGTCAAGACATTTGTTCTCGAGGTGCACTAGGAGGTACATATTTGCAGCAATATACAGGTTCTTTGCTTGTTCTGTGTCTGAAAGGGTAACTGCATCTGTATAAACATATCTGTAACAGAAAGGGTATTATTAGTGTACAACATGTTACAAAACAACCAATAAAGCTCTCATACAAATTGAGTTAATTTTGTATGGGAGGTTAATTTTTTTTTATTTATATTTCGACCCATGTTCCATGAGAAAGTCATTAAGTTTTATGAGTACCTTGACCTCCTTTCAGCTTTATTGCTTGTTTTGTAACACCCAGTATATCATGTAATTTAAAATTTTTGCTGATTTGTAAGTATTGCTTTTATAAGTATACTCTAGATTGCTTCATGTAACTTTTTAAAATTCCTACATTATCGCAATCTTAGGATGACACTCTGCCTAACCCATAAGGTATAAAGGTGCAATATATGTATGTATGTATAATGGTTTAGAAGAGCATTATTTGATTAAATTTGTTCACCATGAGTTTCATAAGAGGCGAGAAAGGGACTTCAGGGTTATTTCTTTAGAAAAGCAAGCTGTTTTTAAATAATTTTTCCTAAAAAATTTTCTTAAATACCAAATTTTTAAAACACTTCTCGTATTAGGTAAACAATTTTTGGAAGACTTCCAAAATTTTCACCGCAGGCAGGATTTGAACCTGCGACCTTAGGCATCAGTACTGCCGACGCCCTAACCAACTGGGCTACCGCAGTTCTAATCGAGCCCGCGAAATTATGGAAGTATATCTTGTCCACTATCGCGTGGATGGGCTCCATCTACCGGGATAGTTTTGCAACTAATTCCCAGCGACTAATTCATTCTTTACAGATTGAATGTAGTCAAAGCGATGAAAATCCGCGATAAATTGAATACCAAATTTTTAAAACACTTCTCGTATTAGGTAAACAATTTTTGGAAGACTTCCAAAATTTTCACCGCAGGCAGGATTTGAACCTGCGACCTTAGGCATCAGTACTGCCGACGCCCTAACCAACTGGGCTACCGCAGTTCTAATCGAGCCCGCGAAATTATGGAAGTATATCTTGTCCACTATCGCGTGGATGGGATCCATCTACCGGGATAGTTTTGCAACTAATTCCCAGCGACTAATTCATTCTTTACAGATTGAATGTAGTCAAAGCGATGAAAACCCGCGATAAATTGAATACCAAATTTTTAAAACACTTCTCGTATTAGGTAAACAATTTTTGGAAGTCTTCCAAAAATTGTTTACCGCGGGTTTTCATCGCTTTGACTACATTCAATCTGTAAAGAATGAATTAGTCGCTGGGAATTAGTTGCAAAACTATCCCGGTAGATGGAGCCCATCCACGCGATAGTGGACAAGATATACTTCCATAATTTCGCGGGCTCGATTAGAACTGCGGTAGCCCAGTTGGTTAGGGCGTCGGCAGTACTGATGCCTAGGTCGCAGGTTCAAATCTGCCTGCGATGAAAATTTGGAAGTCTTCCAAAATTGTTTACTAATACGAGAGTGTTTAAATTTGTATTCAATTTATCGCGGTTTTCATCGCTTTGACTACATTCAATCTGTAAAGAATGAATTAGTCGCTGGGAATTAGTTGCAAACTATCCCGGTAGATGGAGCCCATCCACGCGATAGTGACAAGATATACTTCCATAATTTCGCGCTCGATTAGAACTGCGGTAGCCCAGTTGGTTAGGCGTCGGCAGTACTGATGCCTAGGTCGCAGGTTCAAATCCTGCCTGCGTGAAATTTTGTCTTCAAAATTGTTTACCTAATACGAAGTGTTTAAAAATTTGGTATTCAATTTATCGCGGATTTTCATCGCTTTGACTACATTCAATCTGTAAAGAATGAATTAGTCGCTGGAATTAGTTGCAAACTATCCCGGTAGATGGAGCCCATCCACGCGATAGTGGACAAGATATACTTCCATAATTTCGCGGGCTCGATTAGAACTGCGGTAGCCCAGTTGGTTAGGGCGTCGGCAGTACTGATGCCTAAGGTCGCAGGTTCAAATCCTGCCTGCGGTGAAAATTTTGGAAGTCTTCCAAAAATTTTCTTAAATTGTGAGATAAAATTACCTATAAAAGGGAATAAAAGAATAACCGTACGAAAGAAAAGGGAGTGCAAAAACTGACCCTTTACAGAGGAGTCAGTTTTGCATTAAAGCTGGATTTTTGTTTGGTACAAGATTAAGTCAGGGTATAAACTTCGAGAGCTAATAAAATATTTTTGGAAACTCGCAAATTTTTTCCCGCCAGGATCTGAACCAGTTTATTAAAAATTGTATACCTAACACGGGAATAGTTCAAAGGGTATTTAGTAAAATATTCATCTCGATATCTTAGAACAACTCGCTCCAAAAAGTAGGGGAGACTGGGGACACTTGATCCCCCACTTTGATTTTGTGATCTCATGTGTACATTTCTTAACATATGTAACTCGTGTTTACACTAAACGATGCATAATTTAACCAACTACCATTTGTGTATGTGTAGTTAGGATTATACCATAGTTGTAAAAGTTATTTAAAAAAAACTGGTAAAACAGGTTTGCACCATGTGTCCCGTATATAAGGGAGAAATGATCCACCTAGTTGGATGACTTGATCCACCCTGGATCAAGTCTCCCATAGTATGGGAGACATGGTTTTGTTTATTAAATATGTGAGGATCATGTGTTCCATAGTTAGGGACACGTGGGACATTACGTAAAAGTAAATAGCTATTTTATCAAGTTTAGTTTTGTTTTCTCTCTAAATGTAATCTAAAATGTACAAGTACACCTAATGTAACGAATAACCGTTTATAATCGATAATATAACGATACAAAATTTAACTTTTATAACAGTCATGGATCATGTCTCCCATAGGAAAAATACATTAGTGATATAATGCTATCCAATTAAAATATTATTTAACAATGTTCCATACAGCCTGAATATACACGATATTTAATCAATCAGTCCTCTCAGTACAATTTTCTTACTAACTGATCCCCATAAGGAGACTTGATCCTAGAATCAAGTGTCCTTGAAAAATGTACCAAGTCTCCTTATAGTATCAGGTCAGGAATAATTTATACTTTAGAACAAAAGAATTTTTTTACTTAATATAAACGTTATTCTTCAATCAAAGCTCACTGCTAATGAAATATCCTTAATAATGAAACTGTTTCTCTTGCAATTCTTCATTTTATTTGTAATAAATAAAAGCCTGCAAATACTCAAAATGATCTTGCGGTGCAAAGAATATATAAAGACCTGTCACTTTGAAACATGAAATAGTAGACACATCCGACTGTGACAAAAAGTTTTCCCAAACCGTAAACTAAAAGTTTTGCTAGCATTAATAAACATAGCTTTGGTAGAATTTCTGGAAATTAAAGGTACCATGTCTCCCACAGGGATCAAGTGTCCCCAGTTTCCCCTATACTCTGACAACTTACTCTAACATAGAGGAAAACGTATGTGAATCAATGTCGCTGATTTGCACAGAACTCTGTCTGTCTCCGACGTACCCGTAGAACATAGCGGCAAACACTGGCGATGCCATGGACAGGAGCAGTTTGTGAGCATCCAGGGAACTTGATTCAAACTGGAAAGTACAGTCGCTCCACTCTCGCGTCCTAAACAAATGCGCTGTTCGCATCTTTATTTCAGGGTAGTTCACCTGCCAGACATCAGAATTTCGAGGAGCCATCCTGCACTCTATTCAAAAACAAGTCACGCAACACAAATTAAACGGAAAACTTTTGGAAAACTGAGCAAATTTAAGCCAAGTGAATCTGAGCAAAACAAACAGAGGGAACAGAGGAGAGGAAGGAAGCAGTGTTGCCAGCGCCGTATAATCAAAAGTTACTTAGTTTACTTACACTCTTTGAAAAAGTTACGTTTTGAAGAAAAAAGTTACGCCACATTTTGTCTAATAAAAAATTTTTTTTTCGAGTGTTTAGTATAGATTGGCTATTATTTTATTTTTCATTATTGTTTAGGTGTTTTTTTGCGTGTTGAGTATAGATGATGATGATGATGGGTAGGTATCACCCACCCGGAGTATAGATACAATGGTTTTCATTGTTGTTTAGGTGAATCTTTCATTAAAACTCGATGTTTCGGTTCATGTCACACACAGAACTGTAAATCTAAAATAGAAAATTGAATGCAAGTTACTATCTCGAAACGAAACAAAAGTGGGGTGCGTTCCATTTTACGTTTTTTTCGTTTCGTTCTACGAAAAATATGTTTTTCTCGAAATGTTACGTAAAAGTTACGCCCGTGGCTAGGTTACGCCAAGGTTACGCTTAATGGTGAAAAGTTACGAAAAACGTAACAAAAGTTACGTTCTGGCAACGCTGGAAGGAAGAAGGAAACAAACAAACAATAGCGGGATGACAGTACTAGTGTTGCGTGCGTGCGGTGTTGCCTTGACTCAAATGTCGATAAAGGTCGATAATCCGTAAAAATAAATGGACTTTTTAGGAAAATGCAAGACTTTGCTGGATTACTCAGTAGCTTAAGAACAATTTACATTCAAAAACGCCAATCAAACCCACGAATATATTTAAACGTTCCAAATATATTTAGCCTATTCGCTAAAAAGCAACTAAGAAGAGGATCGATGGTCGATGAAGAAACAACACTAGCAGCCAGAGACAATCCACTTTTGTTTTATTTTTTACCGTGCGGTAAAGTACTGTGAATAACAGCACGTACAGCCTGATTTAAAAAAGTTTTGCCAGAAAAATATGGACGCTGTGATGTTGGGGGCAAAGTTGGGGTGCAGGCTTATATACAGAATGGACCATAGAGTGACGTCAATAAAAAGAAATTAGATTCCTCACATCTTGGGGTATTCGAAAATACCCCATGTATTTTTCGCGATTATTGTTAGTTTTCGAGTTATTCAACTTTTAAAGTTGTATGGGAAAAACTCGAATGGCAGATATTTTTTCTTTTTTCCCTAACACCCCGTATAAAAATTCATTTGAATTTTTCGTTCAAACGAAATTGTATTGATGATTGTAAACTCAAAAGGATTTAAACGTTAAATAATAAGAAATGTGTATGAATTATTTAAATGGTTTTATTTAAAAAGATAAATATAAAACATAACAAATTATCGTTGCTTATATTGTATGTACAAAATTATGTATATTTTTTCTTATATTTAACCTGATTGATTGATTACATATATACGGTAACGTATAATTAAGTACAAATCTCATAAAGGTGTGATCTACTCACAAAATTAAACAACTTTTGTTTGAAACTTTTCTTCAAAATATGAAAAAAAAATTTGGACCTCCCATACTAAGTGACACACTTTTTCAGCATTTTTGTATGGGAGGCCTAAATTTTTTTTTTCAGTTTTGTGAGTAAACCACGTCCTTAAGAGATTTGTACTTAATTAAATGTAACCCTATAAGTACTGGGTGTTGCAAAACAACCAATAAAGCTGAAAGGAGGTACTCATGAAACTGAACAACTTTCCCCATGGAACATGGGTCGAAATATGAATAAAAAAATTTGGACTTCCCATACAAAATGAACTCACTTTGTATGGAAGATTTATTGGTTGTTTTGTAACACGTTGTATATTACAGTACTGGTAAACTGGGGTTACTTTGATTAATTTTTAAATTAAATTGTTTGTATCTTTTGAATCTATGGTTCTAAAAATAAGCAAAAAATACGCAATAATGGAGTGCTGTAGATCTCTAAGAAGAGGTGAAAATAAAAAATAAAATGTTTGTACCTAGATATTGAGAAAAAAAATGAAAACAGCGTGATCAAAGTTATACTGATTTTGGGGTTACTTTGATACCTACTCCTTCCTACCTACTACTACCTTTTCTTAGCATGGAATTCAAAAGTAACACGAATAACTTGTCCAAAACAAAAAGAAAAATCAAACTCTGTTAACAGGAACAAAAGTTATTGATGTTTTTATACTTTGATCAATGACGCCCCGCCACACTTTATGTACCGGATCAATGACGCCCCGCATTAAATTAAAGGACGCTGTGTCGTAAGTTTCAATGTTATGAAAATAACAATTTGAGTTTTGGGTTCCTGAATATACACTACTATACAAAGTTCAGAAAAAAAATTCGTAAGACTTACATTAATTGGGCCGCATCTAAAGTTTGGCAACACTTTTTTTAGCCATAAATCGATATAAAACAAAAACGTGCGTTTTTTTAAAAAAAAAAAAATATTTTGTGCAGCGCCCGAAAAGAAATTAACAGAAAATCAGTGTAGTCATCGCAAAAAAAAAATCTACCAAAGTCAGTCCAGTTTTACGCAACTTGCATTTCAAGTGAACAGGAAGTTTTGATCAAAATCACCCCATGGTTCAAAGTGACCCCGTTTTACGTACCTGAAACGTAATAATTATTTCTCTTCCTTCTAATTTAATAGTCCCACGGAAGAATAGTCCTAAATCAGCAGGTAACATTTATATTG